TATATATATATATATATATATATATATATATATATATATATATATATATATATATATATATATATATATATATATATATATATATATATATATATATATATATATATATATATATATAAACACATACTGTGTGTTTATATTAGATTTTTTGAGTCCAACATTTTTAGTATCGAGACTGACTATCATCAGCCTGGCTTTTATCCTATGTCCCTGATTACATCCCATAAGTAAATGTTTATTTCTGTATCAATCCTGATCGTTGAAGTATTAAAAGTTTGGGCCACACAAGGATATTGCTATTCTCATTTTGAAATTTGCCAGTATATTAAATAGTAGTAAATTAAACTCTAGATCTGTTTTGAATTAAATATTTGTAAAATGATTTTTTAAATATTTTTAATGATGTGCAACCCTATCTTTTGCATATTTTTTTGGGAAGAGGAGAATAGCATTTGCCTGTCCTTTGTTGAATGATGTTTTTCTTAAGCACTATGTTTGACCAATGGTTTAACTGTTTGATAACAGTAAGAACTCTTAAGAAAAAGAATAGAAAAACATTTTTTATTTAAAATCAAACTCCCTTGTTTTGCATGAATTTTAATTCTTTCCTGTGTTTATTTTTCCGAAGCTTGTCTATGAACACTTTGAATTGGAAGAAAATGAAGACTGCACTTATGACTCAGTGACAGTCTACGAAAATGTTGCAAAGGAGAAAGAAATAGGTTTGTTATATTCCTTTCTGAATTGTGGGTTGATTCAGATCTAATGTTTCTTGTGTATGTACAGAGAGGAACTAAATTAAGAATGCCGGTATAGTTGATTGGCTTTATAGGTGCCAGCTATCAGCTGCAAAATTCATGTTTTTCCATTTACCTTTGCCTGAGTTCTTCTACCATATTGGTGGTTATCTCTTACATATAATCTGAATCCATCATTTGCAGTACTGTAATAAAAACACCGCAGAACCTTGTATGGCCCTATTTTGTAGATTATTGAGATAATGCAGGTGAAGTATCCTCCAGTAATTCTATGTAAAGTACAGATATTGTTGTCTACCATGTTAGTCTCAACTTGGGACCTGAGGTAAATAAATGGGATATGGCTGAAAGGATGTATGGGTTACTCCAGGTAGGATAGAACTAATTTTTGCTTTGCTCCCTGGAAATAATTGAAATCAAAGACAATCGGTAAGTTGACAGGGGCTATAGCAAATAATTATTAAAGGGCTGGACCAATGTTCAGTTAAAAAAACCCCAGTTAGAGACAGATACTCAGAGACTGCCTTGAGCATGGAGGCAAAGGAGGCAGCTGCTTGTACCTCCTCAGGTACCAGCAACTGAGGAATAGGATAACTTGAGTAATGGACCAGATTCTTGTGAAACTGAGGCAGGACTCTTGTAGACATTTCCCCCCATACTTAGGTTATCAGGTACCTTCCACTTCATTAAACCTGCCTAATGACATACAAGGCACACCAGGCAGGAAGCTTCAGAAAAGTGAAACGCTCACCTTCAAATCAAGGAAGGAAAGCTCTTTAAAGATTCATTTGTCAGCTACCGATGGAGATTAAGAAAAGTAAGTTAGATGGAGAGACTCAGAAAAACTTCTTGTGGAGGTCCTGGCTCACAAATTAGACAAATAGTATCATTGCTCGAAATCCAAATAGCACCAGGTGCATATGATCTCTCAGGATATTCCTGAATAAAAATGCTTCTTTAAATTAATTGAATTTGACAGCAGGATGTGATAAACTAGATACTGGAATTATGAATTATTACGGTGTTTTATTATGTATTTCAAATTCATCATCAGAAAAAATAATGATACAGAAATCACATCTGCAGTGTAACTGCACTTTTCTGAAGTGATAATTATTACCTGATTACTTAATAGAGTTAATTATGCCCTTGAATAATACCTGAAGTTTTACAAATGTTAAAAGGGGTGGAAACATTAAAAGAAAATAGCATAGGGCACCAAAGGTGCTGGAAACTCACAGGCACGGCTTGACATGTGTCTTTCAATATTAAAGGGTTTTCTCCTGGGTCTTTGACAGGTTGGATCAATAAAATCGACAAAATCTAATATTAAGTTATTGGCAATTTCAAAGTAATTGACATTGAATGGAGCAGGTAACCAAGCAAAACCTACTACAAACATAGAGCTACAAACATTAGTTGTATCCTCTATATACGTATGTAGAATGCTCATTCATTGAGAAGATTTTAGTATTTTATCTTTGAAAAAGTAGCAGTTTGCTGTTATCATCTTACCATTCATTCATTCATTCATTCATTTTCTTAGCTCGATTATGTGGATTTGCTGTCCCAGCACCAGTTTTGAGTTCCTCTAACACCATGCTTATCCAGTTTCATTCTGATGAAACAGAGACCTATAGTGGGTTCAAAGCCGTATTTTTCTTCATTGATGTTGCAGGTAAAAAAAATTGTTTGTGTGTACAGTATGTGTGTCTTAGTTCTGCATACATATGCATAATATATTTTGTCCACTTCAGCATGTTGTTTATAGCATCAAACTGCTTTCAAATTGCTAGATTTCAGTGGATCATTAATACATTTTTTATTCTAAATCAAGTCATAATTTATACTTTAATCACATTTCTCCTGCCTTTCTAATGTAATACTTGAATTAATGAAGTGAAGTATAAAGTTTACCAGCTCTAGAGCCTATCCAGAATAGTGATTAATACAATCACCCAGTTATAACTAGTGCAATTTATCATTAACATGGACAGATTTATATCACCATAACCATATCTAGATGAAGCCACAAAATTGTTAGCATGGATGGCCTCTAACCCTCAGATCATATTCAGAAATCAGTCCCTGGAATATCCAGATAGGGGTGGAAACATTCTTACTTGAAAATCTAGACAGCCTGTGAATCAGTGCTGACAATATTGGGCTAGATGGTCCACTAATGGCTTGGCATAAGACATTTATTTATTTATTTATTTATTTATTTATTTATTTTTTATTTATTTATTTATTTATTTATTTATTTATTTATTTATTTATTTATTTATTTATTTATTTATTTATTTATTTATTTATTTATTTATTTATTGAATTTATATACCGCCCTATCTCCCTTACGGGACTCAGGGCGGTGAACAGGCGATAATTTCAGATAATAACATTATCTGAAATTGCTCTGTCTTGCTCCTAATTAGCTGGTCATGGTGGCCACTGTATTGTATTTTGGAGCCAGGTTTAAAACCTGCTACTCTAAATTTACCTAATGTCTAAATGTCTTCTATGCATCTAAAATCATGGTACATGACATATCTTAAACCTGATTTTCCACAACCTGCTACTCTTCAGATTTGGGCATTCAATATTAACAGCTTCAGATTGAGGAAATCTGGTCCTAAGTATTAAGAGAATGAAGCAATGGTGATACTAATTAAGAACCACTAGTACACTAATATTGATTTCATGTACCAATTTCATCTGCCACTCCAGGTTCAAGCTGTCCTTTGTACTGATACACCTTTAGTGTAATAACATAGGCAAAATATGTAAGTGTAATTAAGCCATTGTGGC